CGCGAATTTCTCCAATTCTCGGTCGAGAAACTTTTTCAGTTGTGTTTCTTCCGCTGCGGTACGCGGGGCCAGTCCCCCGCTGGTCCCGTGTATTGTCGGGGTGCTCGACCCGGGGGTGTATCGTGGTAGACTGAGGCGGATGCCGGTGCGTGACCAAAGGTCCACGCCGATGAGTATAGGGCTGTCGAGCGTCGGTAGAACGGTGAACTGGTGTCGGTATGTTTTTGCTCCGATCCGGACTGGTAGGGCGACGCTACCGGCGGTGTGCGTGGTTTCGCCGTTTGCCAGTTGCACTTCCCCCTCGTGACGTAGGACCTTGTGGCCCCATCGTTGCGCGTGGGCAGCCGTTCTGTCGTTAATAAATGATATTTCGGACCCCAAGTCGAGCAGTGCGTCGTATCGGTACTGGTGGATGATACGCGGAGGTGTGGCTGCGGCGTGTACTTTAAGCGGGGCTCGGGGCGCTGGCCGTTGCGGTCCCGGCCTGCTCGGCGTTTCCCGCCGGCGGATGACATTGTTGGGTTAGCACGCCGTCCTTGCCGCACCGTGAATAGAATTTTCGCGGCGGGCGTTTGCAGTTAAAGCGTGTGTGGCCGCGTTGTTTGCATCGCCAACAACACTCCTCCCGGTTGTAGGCGGCGGCGACGATCGGTTTTGACGTGTCTGGCCGGCGGTGCGTTTGTTCGGCCGCGCACTGGTCGTCGATTTCTTCCAACTCGGTGGCTCGCGCCTGAAGGTCGTCTACGACGCCGGCTTCGTCGTACGTGATGAGTTGCTTTATCTCGGGTCGCATGTTTTGATAGACGCGCTCGTACTCTTCTTCCGGTGTAAATCCGCCGGCCCGGCGCATCAGTGTGAGTATGTCTGCGACGTATTTCTTAAATTTCTCCCCCGGCTGTTGGCGGCGGTCGGCGGTCTCGCGGGGGAGGACGGCCTGGTATCGGCGGGGCAGGAATTGCGCGCGAAATGCGCGGTCAAAGTCCCCCCAGGTCTGCCACCGATCAGTGTTGTTAGACGGACCAGTTTTTTTCGCGCATGTGCGTTGAATGTGGTGTCAGTGAAGTAGTCAATCTCATGAAATGAGGTCCTGTATTGCCCCACCGTTTAATCTTTTTTAAAAGTTATTTAAAAAATTTTGAATTAATTAAAAACATGAAATAAAGAAATAATAAGATTATATTTAAATTTATATATGTGTATGTATGTGTGTTTGTGTGTATACGTGTATATGTATTCGGTATGTGTAATTAAATAAAAATCAAATCATCAGTTCTGAAAGAAAATAATTGCACATTAAACATTTTATTAAAGTGATTCATTTATCACCTCAGGCTGTTAAACTAAAATAAATTAAAATAAACTTTGTAAAACAAAACAATGCTATCGCTTGCCATTCCAACGATATTCTTTATCGGAATTTGGTTTTTTTCTAAAAATGTTTTAAAAGTTTTAAAAATATTTTTTGCGGTACAATTTGCGGCATCTAACGATGATATTTCTAATAATTGTATTTTTACTTTTTTATTATTAGGTGAAACATATTGAACAAGTACGCACATAAATTTGGTATTTGTAATATCGGTACTTTCATCTACTAAAATAGAAAATTAGAAAATTTTTAAAATTTCAATAATTTTTTTTGTCTCTCGTTTTGCTATAATGTTTTTAACAATTTGGGTGCACTTAAGTCGGCCCAATGAAACATCTCGTACAATTTCAGGCTCAATAGAAATATCTTTTAATAAAGAGACTAAATGATCAACAGTGTCAAAAGCAATATTATGTTCCGCGAAAAATGATGCTAATTTTATTTCCGCGCGTTTTACTTTGTTATTATGTGGAATAGTACTAACATCGGAAAGGCTTTGATCAGTTTGATTTAAGCTGTTTACTTTTGTCATATGTTTGACCGATTGTGAGTGAGCTACTAAATTTGTTTTACAACACGCAATACTTTTGTTACAAATGCTACAAAAAGCTTTATTCGGTTCGGAATGGGGAGTCAACCATCCTTTAAAAATATTTTCATCTAACCATGAATTTTGAAATACCCGGACTCTTTGTTTTTTAATGGCTCCTTCAGCAACATTTGGATCCATATTGCACAAATGTTATAATTATTGCACAAATTATAATAATTTATTTACTTACATAAAGTATACTTATATATATATATAGGCTAAATGACAAATGAAAAAAGTGCTTCTATGAATGGAGCACTTTTTTATGATATTATGATTATCGTATAAATTTACAATAGCATTATCATTATATGTTTTCCCGCTTCTCTATGCATTGCATTAGTATATTCTTATTACGAATTTTAGAATTAGTATATTCTTATTATTACGAATTATTACGAATAATGGATGCAAGAATTAATCTTAAAAATGATTTAAATAAAAATTTGCGTTATGTTTCAACTTCAACTGTCAAAGTAGTCGATCAATGTTACCATGAAGATGTCTACTATTTCGCCGTGCCTGAGCGCGCGAAATCTCAGCCCTGTCATTCGTAAAATATAATCGCTTCCCGTTTAAAAACTATTATAGCCTCGACATTTTTGTATTAGGATCTTCGTCTTGAAATGTTGTAAAGAATCTGCCATTAAAAGGAAATACGGCCATTAAAAGGAAATAAAATAATATTATTTTATTAATAATCTTGACTATTTATACAGTGTGCTACATTTTAAACGTAACAGGCCGAATATCTCTATAACTAAATGAAATATCGAGATCCGGTTTTTTTCAGGTTATATTATTTCAAGCAGGACAAATTTTGATAAAAAGGATTTGACCCGTATTCTGAGCTCACATCTATCTTTAGATATGCCTCTAAATGTGCCTTAGATGACACGATAAATGTGGCGGTATTCTGAGCGCACATTTAGCGGTACATTTAGAGGCAGATCGCCATATTTAGTTTAAATGCGCAACTTTATAGTGAAAATCGTATTCTGAACCACATTTATAGCACATTTATGCCATTCTCGATAAATGTACCAATAAATGTGTCCGAGGGCACATTTATACGTAATATCGGCGCGTTGTACTCGATGCTTCGTAAGTTTAATTAATTCTATCACTGTTATACAATTGATTTCATTAATAAAATTATTACAGATCAAGTTTTTATAAATAATAGAACTTTTTTACATAACAATATTAATAATATTTGGTCAATTCTGAAATTTCTTTTAAAAGTATGGTTGTATAAAATGCAATGAAGGGTGCATTTTGTTTGACACTATTTTCACTTAGAAGGATTAATTAGGATGAAAAATCTTGCACTTTGAAGCAGAACTAGCTTGAAAGAGCACACTCAACTACATTATCATGGATATATTTGACGATTATGGCTTAAAATAAATAATAAGATTAAAAAGTTTAAAAAGGCTTGAATGATAAATATCAATAAATATCGATAAATATCAATTCTCTTCTTATTAATTATGACTTAGTTTACACCGATATACTTTAATACGTATTACACTGGCCAATCATAGCCATTCCTCTTAAAGAATGGAGCGACTGCAATTGAACAATATAGAGTTTATTTTACGTATTAAAATATATTATAAGATAAGCCATTGATCATACGATCGAAATTTGGGAAGTAAATGCAGTGCGTGATCGTGACCCATTGGTATTTCGAAATAGAATAGACGTTTTTGAAGACGGTTATAATGATCACAAGTTCCGACAAAAATATCGGTTAATTAAAGAATGTTGTTACAATTATATGCGCGGTTTCGTTTTGTGTTGCAGTAGCATCGAAAGAAAGGTCGAAATGAAATTTACTAATTTAACTCATGGCGCGTGATATAATGAACTGTTTGAAGGCCAATCACAGTGCCGTATGCGCATAATAAGTATGATATACAACACAGTAATCATAAATGTACCTCTAAATTAGAGGCGCTATAAATGTGCGATGAGAATGCGACTGACTTTAGTACTGTAGTACTAATACATTTATCTACGCTTCTAAATGTGGCACTTTAAATGTGCCTCTAAATGTGAGCTCAGAATAAGGGCCTTTGACTTTAAATGGAGGCATAAAAAAAAAACCGGACCTTGATATTTCATTTAGTTATCGAGATATTCGGCCTGTTACGTTTGAAATTTACCATTCTGTATATATTGATACGATTTTATAATTTGGTAACATGTTTTTTATAATTGATAAAATCTAATAAATATCTAACCAGTGTATATTGAGTTCGTTACTACTAACAGTTATCTGGTTTGAGACGAACGAGTATTGTTTTTCTTGGATCTCTCTCGATCTTTAGATGCGTGATGTATTTTCGAAAAGCGAATATACCTGCGATTTCGTGTATTTTTAAAATACCGGGTAAAAGAAAGCAGAGAAATGGAATGAAGATAATGGTAAAGAAAGATGGGGTGACAAGAGAGGAACAGAAAAATTAGAAAACCAGAGAGAAGCAGAAAAAAAGAAGGAAATAATAAAGATAAGCGTCAGCAATTGGAAAATACAGACGGAAATAACAGTGATGAAACTAGAGGAAGACCACAGAGATAAAGAAGGAAAATAATAAAGAGAAATAAACTGAATCGCTGACGCAAGGGAAAAGAAAGAGACAGTCGATCCAAACTACAATTGCGAGGAAAGTCAAAAGCGATGGATGAAGTAGTTGGAAGATTAGATTTATAAATTTAAATATATCTAAATTAAATTTATATATATTTTCTCTTCTTAAACTTTTTATATAAATATCTATATATAAATATTTTTTTATAAATATAATGTGTTTGCACGCATTAAGCATTTAGTTTTATTACAAAATCTCTTTTATGTAAAGAATCTCTCGAGTTGAGTAACACGATCCAATAGAGGAAAATATTTTACAATAGCGTGTAAGAGAAAGAGAGGCCTTGGCATAATTCATGCCACGTATCGTAAAACGGATTCTTCTCATGTGCAATGCAAGCGTAATTTCGAAATGTTTTACATGACAAGCAATATCCAATATCGGTATATGTTATTTCACGCATATCATTTCATTCAGGTACATTGTACAATCTATCATAATTCGCAACATTAATCCTATTTATTTTATAAATGCATCAATAATATGTTATCAACTATGTGTATGTACACATTACAATAATTATATATATTGTTTATAAATTAAAAGTTTAACTTCACGAATTAAAAATTGGAAATTCCGCAAAACTTGCTTGTTATAGGTCTGTGAACGCGATAAGCAATTGACGCATGACTCATTAGTATTCGCAGACATAATTATTGGTTTTCCTTGTTTGTTCTTAAGAATCTCCAATGTCACGTATGCGATAAGAGGATCGTATTTAATACTGCGATTTAATTAATGATTCTTATCGGAATTACGCGCGCGTCGTCACGTGCAATATCATATATAGGTACTGCAAATGTAATGATAGTGATTTCATAAATAAAATAATATATCTTAAATCTCTCTCTCTCTCTCTAGACAATACGTTCTTCAAGATGTACATTTGCCGCATAGTATTGCTAAAAAGGTTCTGAAAAATGAAATAAATAGCTTCTGAAAGTGGCAAAATTAATTTAATACATGATAAAAATGCTCATGTGTTTATAATATATTCACTTTTATATTAGTGTTTCTAAAAATCATCATATTATTAAATAAATTATTTCTAGAAATGTTACAAAATTTTTACAATAATATACATATATATTTCATATTTTTAGAAAAACGTTGCTCTCTCTAGTAGATAGCCATGTTTTTGTACTATATTAATTAATAAAGTTAAATGATATAAGAATTTTGTTTAATATAAATATTAAACAAAAATATTACGATTAATTTGAGAATTAATATCATTAAAAATTTACCTTCGTCTCTGTTTATCCGTACGTTCGACTTTTATTCCGTTAGGAACAGCATGCTTTTTCTTTTTATTGGCTCTTTTATCTTCCTATAATATATAATCACATTCGGTATGGTATCATATTTCTAATTATATCTTACAGAATAAATTATGTCCGATGTGTGTTGTTATTTATAGAAATTTTAGATTATTATTTTGTAAGTTTGAATGAGATTCCCGAATAGTATTGATACTAATAATTATTTTTTATCTAATTAATCTCAAGATTATTAAAGCTTACATCTTCAAGTTCGCCAACTAAATATTCTTTAAGCATCTTTTTCGCGTCTGAGGAATGACCAAAATCATCGAATCCATTTGTTGCGTCCTTTCCCGCATATTCCTCAATTAATTCTGGACCACCAGGATGCTGTAATTAATTTATTAATTATAATATTTTTATCAAATCTTATTTATTAAATTGCTTGTAATAGCTTGTAGTAAATTACTGTAATATCTTATAAAAAAACAATTTATATAAAAATTAATATAATCTATAATAATAATAATCATCATAATAATAATAGAATAAAATAATGCCAGACAAATTTACAAAAATTAGCACGTATGAGATATAATTAAAATTATGGAAATACTTTTCCTCTTTGTTAAACTTGGATGATTTCTTGTCATAAACCAAGTAATTATTTTTAATGTAACATTTATGAATACAAATACAAGAATTTTTTTAAGAAACAATAAAAAAAATTTGGTATTTTTTATATGGACTTTTTATTAATTCATTTTTTATTACTTCCAAAAAATAATTTTTTTTTTAATGCATTTTATTGTTTTTTATTTTTTAAAGTGCATTCTGTTATTCTTAATATCACGCTTTGATAGTCACTGCAGCATAACATATCACTCAAAATCATTAAAAGTCATTTAAACTTATAAAAGACAAAGAAAAGATATTATTTTTCAATTTCTCAATTAATTCTTTTCTCCAAAAATTGACTTTCTTAAAAATAAAAAACTTGGTTTGAAAGCAATATAGTTTGCATTTTAATTTATTGTTGGGAAAATTGACACATTTTTCTAATTTCACGATTTTTGTCGTATTTTATATATGTTTTGTAAAAATTTATGAATTGCTGAACAACTGAAATGCAATAAATCATTAAAATTACACGTTTTATTTAATCACACACGAATATATGTAAAATATAAACCAATGTCTCATTATGTATATAGTTCATTAAGAATTCTTGCATTGCATCATATGCATACACAAACATACACAGACACATTATATTATACACATATTTTATATTCTTGTAAATGTACCTGGGACATGTAATCCGTCACATCGTAAACGTTATCATAAATCACAATCCAAGTTCTGGACCCGTTTTTACCATCGCACTTCGCGACCTCCGCGAGCGAGTACCGAATCGCCGAATTGGACATCCTTCGACGCCGGAGTCTCGCGAGAAAAAGAGAAGGAATTTATTCGCGTTTGTGATATAAGTAACACATGCTGATTTTTCAAGACCGACGGTATTCCCGCGTCGATAAGCATATCGCAATTTAGACACGTAAATTGTATCTATAGATAATTGTGTCTATCGCTGTCTCAGTTCATTTCTTTATCGCCATAACTGATGCAATACCTAAATATCAATTTCCTGGAGACAACGTCATATTGAACAATTATTTTTTCAAATCAAAACATAAGCTTATTCAAGTTTTTCCCGGAAATGTCTAAAACAGAAGCCGCTTTACAAATCTTGTTTTTAAAAAATCTGGCTATTATACAATATATATACAGGGTGGATCATTTTAATCAATCCACGCGAATATCTCGAAAACGGAGCTCAATAGACAAAAATGTTTCAGACAAAAGTTGCATGGTTTCGAGGGGACCACATGATAAAAATCCAATTAATATAAAAAAAAATTGTTTTCAAGAAAAAGTATGTAATTATTTATAATGTATTTTTTTTTAACAATTATTTGTTTTTTTACACTAATTTATTTGTTTCATTATTCTGTACATAAAAGTATTACGGTAAGATTTCTAGCGTTATCGCGTTATATATCGTTACTGTAAAATTTTTGTTTTTCGCGCTTCTTGATCCGAAAATTATTACAATGAATTAATGATATTTTACCATTTAAAATAATACCAAACACGAAATCGGATAATTTTTAATCAATTA